TATGGTTCATGGGGTTACGAAGAGTCGGACACGACTTAACGACTAAACAACAACAACAAATTCATTACATAGAAATTGTGGGCATTTGCTTCTCTGATTTTTCAACAGCTGTTGTAAAGGGTGTAGGGAGAAAAAGAAAAAGCTTGTTGTGCAAGCTACACTGGCTTTGAGTTTCTTTCTGGGTGCAATTCAAGGTGCTGGTTAAAGCCCTACATGGCATGGGACCAGGTTATTTGCAGGACCACCTCCCCCTGAGAATATCTGGCCACCCCACAAGGTCGGACAGGGTGGGCATGCACCAGGCCCCTTCCCTTAAATATTGCCACACAGCGGCAAAGTGGCCTAGAGCAGAGTCAGCCAATGGGTGGTTCTGCAGAGTTTCAAATGAAAGCGATAAAAGAATTTTGTTACAGGACAAAAACCTTTATTTAGAACAAAAGGAGAAAGTGCTAAAGTGTCAAAATGGATGCTGACCCAGAGAGACCGATGTAAATGCTAAATAGTACATATGTACATGCCTACTATAATTCTTTTTGGGGTCAACATTATGCAAAGCACAGAAAAGGAGTAAAAACAGCGAGCCAAAGAAATTAGCCACATGAGACAAGGAAACAAAAGCACAGCTGAAACTGCCTTGTGCGAAAGCCTTTCTCTCTACCTTCCCTTCTCTCTCTACCCTTCCACAGCATCCTTGCTTCCACCCCAGCCGCCTGCTGCTTCACACACTGCCTCTTGTTCTGGCTTGGAAAACTTTGGAGGCAACAACCACACTTAATGATTTGGGGTGGGGAAGGTGCTCTTGCTGGTGCATAACCCAAACTGGCAGAACAATCAATCACACACATGGAAAGAGGACTTTTCAACTATTATCTTTACCTAGTGAAAGGTCACCAATCTTCCCTAGAACAACTCACAATATTCCCAACACAAGTGATGGGTGTGAAGGTAGCTAATCTCGGTGCAAAATGGGATCCAAGCAGAAAAGAAACAGTCCTGGAGAAGTTATTAACTAATTACCCTTCTTCTCTTATATTTTCTACTGGCTGAAAAGACAAGAAGGGATTTGGACAAAACATTACAGAGAAATCAATCATGGGTACAGCCTATGCAATACCAAGTAAAAAAATACATACTTTCATATGCTCCAAAAATACAAATAACTAAGCCTTTATGGCTCTATAAACATTTGCAAATGTCATGTTGTTTACCAAAGTTGTTATTAACTGATCAGATCAATTATTTAGGTACCTGTAGTTTTTAAATTAAAAAAAAAAAGTACTACATTATCAATACAGAGAAACCGAGTTGTTACAATTTTTAAAATAATACAATATAATTAGACATCTCTGTTCCCTTTCAAATCCTCATGGTCCAGGGAACTTCTAATATTTTGGCAAAAAACTGCTAAACAGAGAATATTTATTCTATATGATGAATTACTGAAAATGTACCTAATAAAGTTGGTGGACCAAAAATGACTTATTTCTTCTTCCTCACAAGAATCAATGAACTCCTTAGTGGACTTTTCACATTCCTGCTGTACACAACTGGATCCACTTGAGATATATTCCCATAACATCCACATTTTCCTTTTCACCTTCTCTTGATTTGTAAACATGTCTAATAAAATCTTGGAGAAAAAAAACCCTTGCAAGTTATTTTGGAAATCCTTGGTAATTTAATGAAGACAACATTTTAATATGGATGCCATATTAATATGTTCTGCTGAAATCTTAAAATAAAAACATTGATTCAAAGATTTTCATTTAATTCTTGTCCCAACTATGAATTGAACTCAATGACAACAAAAATTTCTACCTTAACTGAGGATATGAATCATCTATAGGAATTTAGGTGCTAGAAAATTAGATGCATTGAACTGCTCTTAATGTCTACCTTCCCGCACTATTATTCCATCTCCTCTATTCTAGGATAAAAGACAAGGTATGACATTTTTTTCTGAGTGCTTTTACTTTGAATAGCTGAAGATTGTTTTATTTGTTTTATTAAATTTCTATGCCGCCCATCTCCCCCAAAATACTGTTAATATTTCTCCCCTTGGTCTTCACTTCCAAAAGGTAAACACAATGACTTCCTTGGATCTCTCCTTGTAGAACTAAGTTCCCAGTCCTTTAATTACCTTTCCTATCAATCTGTCAAGTCAACCTAATTTGATACATCTCTTCAAAATATGAGACAACTGGATCTAGGATTAAGATGGTGGGGACCAACATAGAGTCTAGTGGAATTAATATATTTTTGATTTAGAAACCATACTTCTCCTGCCACAATATAGAATTACATCTGCCTTTTCCCAAGACACTGGACACTGCTGATTCACATTTAGTCTAGGAATCTTAAAGCATGCTACTGCAACTACAACTGAAGATCAATACCACCTTCAGTTTGATGAAGATTCCTGAGGAACACTCCAAATATACTTTTTAACCAGCCATGGATTAAGATTGTAGTTCTGTCCTCCACCATCACTGAAGTCTTGCTGAACCAAAATGAGGCTCTGTGTTTAACGCTTTAGATAGCTTATGATAACAGCATTCCAACTTATCCACTAACTATGCGACATTACTACTTTACACTAAGGTGTTAAGGCCAATCCTAGACCTTCACTATCTCACAAGATATAGCTATAGCTGCTTTCAGCAGTACCTCTTATCCTCTCATAGAATTATTAGGATCCATGATGACAATTGGTAGCTGTTCTGTATTTCTAATGAATATGTACAGTACGTGGTTAATGAGTCAACTTGTGTAGCTTATACTGATTTGTTTCTGTTTTTTTAAGGAAATCATCAACAACCACAAACTTTCCTCTTCCAAGAATTCAATGGCAGCATGAATAATTAAACTTTATTTTCTTTGGGCAGGACATGGATTCTAACTGAACACAGATATGGATATTTGTCATGTTGCTAAATGTATGTTTTCTTCCAAATACTTTCTCAAAATAGCTTTTCAACAATGAGATTGTCAATACAGAAACACTTTATTCAGTCCAACACAAGAGACTCCATCTTCAGTTACATATTATTTGAGTTAGTTCATTTATTCAGGTTAAAAACTAGTACCTGAATCAGGAGCCTTTTCTGTACTCCTAGCATGCATATTTCTCCCCTGCATGAGTTTTTTGATGAGAAATTAGATTTATCCTCTGACTAAAACTCTTTCCACACTCCAAGCATTCAAACGGTTTTTCTCCTGTGTGGATTCTTTTATGGGTGCTAAGATTTGCCTTTGTGATGAAGCATTTTCCACACTCCAAGCATTTAAATGGTCTCTCTCCTGTGTGAGTTCTTTTATGTATGCTAAGATTTGTCCCAGTAATGAAGCCCTTTCCACATTCCGAACACTTATGTGGCTTCTCTCCTGTGTGAATTTTTTTATGGGTGATCAGGTCAGAACTGTGAGCAAAGCATTTCCCGCACTCTAAGCATTCATAAGGTTTCTCCCCTGTGTGGATTCTGTAATGGGAAGTCAGGGAACTGCTCACATTGAATCGCATTCCGCATTCTGAGCACTGATAGGGTCTCTCCCCTGTGTGAGTCCTCTGATGTCTTCTGAGATGTGTGTTGGAACTGAAGGACTTTCCACACTCCAAGCACTTAAAGGGCTTCTCTCCTGTGTGAGTTCTTTCGTGTGTGTTGAGATTCGCCTTTGAACTAAAGGACTTTCCACATTCCAAGCATTTATAGGGTCTCTCCCCTGTGTGAATTCGTTCATGTATGCTGAGCTGGGTATTACAAATGAAGCACTTCCCACACTCCAAGCATTTGTAGGGTTTCTCCCCTGTGTGATTTCTTTTATGCACAATGAGGGCAGAATTGCAAAGGAAGCTTTTCCCACACTCTAGGCAGATGTACGGCACCCCTCTGATGCGAGCTCTTTGATGCTTACTTAGGTGTGGTTTTGAACTGAAGTATTTCCCACACTCTAAGCATTCATGTGGTCCATCCTGTGTGTGAGTTCTTTGATGCCTGCCTAGGTGTGAGTTGGAACTGAAGCATTTCCCACATTCCAAGCATTTATATGGTTTCTCTCCTGTGTGACTTCGTTGATGGATCCCTAAATGTGAGTTTGAACTGAAGCGCTTTCCACATTCCAAACACTTATATGGCCGCTCCCCTGTATGCGTTCTTTGATGGGTATTTAGGTGGGTCTTGGAACTGAAGCACTTTCCACACTCCAAGCATTTATAAGGTCGCTCCCCTGTGTGAATTCTTTGATGGGTACCTAAGTTGGAATTTGAACTGAAGCCTTTTCCACATTCTAAACATTTGTAAGGTCTCTCCCCTCTGTGAATCTTTTGATGCATGGCTAGGTTCCCCTTCCGATTGAAGCATTTTCCGCACTCCAAGCATTTATACGGTTGCTCCCCTGTGTGAGTTATTTGATGTCTATTTAGTTCTGCCCTCTGGCTGAAGCTGTTTCCACATATTATGCATTTGTGGGCTTTCTTCCTTAAGTGAAATCTCTGATAAATATGTGGTTCTTTTTTATTCTTGGTTCTCCTTTCAATGCCTTCTGAAATAGACAGAAAACTGGTAAGAGCTTCATTCTGAAAATGATCCCAAATCAGTGAATACTCAAAATTAGTACTTGTAAAAACAAAAACAGAATTAATACTTGTGGCACATGGATGAATTTAAAGTAGCAGCAATCATGCTTTCAGAGACATTAACAGAAAATTGGCATGATGAGGAATAGTGTACTGGTGCTGAAAGATATTGGGCTGAACCCCCTCTCAAACATGATTATAGGTGTACTTAGCAGTTCAGCACAACTGGAGGTTGCAGAGGGACAGAAGCATCTGTTATAACCTCTATCCTGGGACCAAATCCCAATGTAGAAACTTGAGATGATGTTCCTATTAAGCTCTGAATTCCCAAATAATCTGTGGTCCTACTATACAACAAATGCCACCATCTTCTTTGACCCTACTCCTACATTCAGATTTTGCTTGGCTGAGTACTTCCCATCATGTATCATGTCTGAAATATAAGACTGGACCTTCTCAGCAGAAGCTCCAATGCTGGGCAACACTCTTCCTTCTTCTCTTTGGTCTTCTACAGTGACCAAGAACATCCTTCCAATATTTCAGAAATATGGCCGTCCTACTCTTACTACATCAACAGAATCTGGAATTTTCTGCATACAAAGTCTATGACAGCAGTAGCAAGCCCTTAGTGGTTAAGGGTGGAACTTAACATATAGAGAGACAGCAGCTGTGTGATACAAATTAGATGAGGCCATATCACACATGGGGATGGAGTCAAACCTGGGCAGTGCATGTGTGTGGTCTTTTCATTGACTTCCCACCTCAAAAAATTGATGTAAAGAACAGCAGAAAAGAAAGCATAGTTCTCAGATTTGTACCCTTTTTAGAAAATCCATCAAGGGGATCTTACAAATAAAGGAATTTTCAGAAGCCCGGTTCAATTAATCAAGAAGGTATATTACAGCTACCCATCCTGGTGTTGACAGCATGTTAATTATGCCGCTGATGACCGCAGCAGTTAGAAAGATTTCCAATGCTCAGATGACTTGCTGCTGAATGCTTCTCTGAATTACATTATAATTTACAAATGCTGGTCCATTCCTTAGCCACTACGGGATGTAAGTAACAAAAAAGTCTGCGAACTACAGTCAGTAGATCAACACTGAAAAATCTCAATAAATGTGATGAAAGATTTGGAGGGCTGAAATGCTGCTTCTGGATAAACATTGTCAGAGGAGAGCCATGCTAGTCTATGGGGACAAAAAATCCGAAGGATAGCATCTTTTCTGACTAAAAAAATCGATTAAAAGGCATAAGCTTTCATGAGTTCAGACTCCTTATTTTTTGCTTATGGGCAAAAAATCCCACCCAAAGAAGTCAACATTTGTTTCTAGCGAAGGAAGCGGCCTTACCAAGAGAGGCCACAATCCCACTGATCTCCTCCATGACTTCTCTGTGCAGAGCTTTCTGGTCAGGCTCCAGCAGTGCCCACTCCTCCTCGGAGAAATGCACAGCCACCTCCTCCAAGATGAGGGATGTCTAAACAAAGAAAAAAGCATTTCTTTTTTATAGATAACACAGAGATTTCTACTACCTAGATGCAAGGCCAAGCGGGTCTTATTCTCACAATTTCCATCCTCCAGAGTCAGAATCAGTCTTGCTAACAGGGAGTTTGGGCAGAAGCAAAGAAAAAGGAGACTCATTCAGATTCAGGGAGGTCAAGGCTGTTTCCACCCTATTTCCCAGGTGATTCCTCTTCCCCCCTCCCTGATCTAGCTGATCTCTTTTCCCTCCGTCGAAAAGAGCTGTTGGCTGAGTTTGCACTTCCAGCTTCATTCTGCTGGCTATACAAGAAAGGATGGGTGCTAGTCAGGCGCTAGCTCACTTGTTTTACAGTTCATTTGGGGAAAAGCAAACCTCTACAGAATCCTGAGCAAGAAAGTAAATATCTTAAGTCATCTATATTCAACAGCTGAATGCAACATGACATTTGTACAGCTTGATATAAACCATTAGGAAACTCTACAAAGGTTGGTTTTTTAAATATAGTCATTTATATATTTTATATGGATATATAAACATTTATATTTTAAAAATATATCTGAAGACATCTTTCCTGATTCCCTCAAAGATCCAGCAGAACATAATGTTTCATCAGAATCACTTGTAAACCAAAGAGAGGGAGACTAAACTCAAAGATGTCCTATTACTACTCACCCCATGAGCAGGCAGCTCCTTCTTCCTCCTTGACAATTCTTCTTTGCAAGATCTTCTGTCTGTCATCTGTTGGGTGTCTTTGTACTTCAGGAAAATCAATGCCTGCTTCTGTAAACCCTTCTGTTTTCTAAAAAGTAATAAGAATGCTAGACAGGGAGGAAAGAACATCAGAACAGCCCTGCTGGATCAATCCCAGGCCCATCTTAGCATTAGGCCTGGGAAAGAAATGCTAGATGGGGCCAGCTAGATACTTGTGGGTCTCATAAAAGCAGGAAATGGCAGACCTACCCCTTTCTTGCTATTATTCCCCTGCAACTGGTACTTGGAGGTCTGAGCACCAACATGGAGGCAGCAAAGGCCTTTTGAAAATTGAAATATACAATGTCAACTGATTCATCACCCGATACTCTCAAGCAACTGTAGACAAAATTAAGAAGGAACCATAAAGGCAAGTGCTTAATGGTTTGGACTCAATGGTCTATGGATCAATTTTTTTAAAGAAGTTGGGAGATCAATAAAGAGTTTCAATTTGTGAAGTCCTTGGGGTTCTCTGAGCTTGGTTATTTTCTTGCAAACATTTCGTTACTTGGCTAGGTAACTAGGCACTGAAGATGTTACCTAGTCGGGTAATGAAACGTTTGCAAGAAAATAACCAAGCTCAGAGAACCCCACAGTTCAACCCTGAGCTACATATATTCTATTAGTTTCAATTTATTCTTGTTCCCAGAAAAAAATATACCTGATGCTATAAATTTCATAGGGTCCTGGGCACAATACAGTGGTACCTCGGTTTACGAACTTAATTTGTTCCG